TCCCAGTGCAGTGTTAGAGAGATCTGTTTCTTGTGGCCGATCCTGCTTCAATATGATGCTATACCTAGAAAACACCCTACTCTCTACCTAAAAGCTCCATGATCTGATAAACAACTTCAACAAAGTTTCAGGATACAAAATCACTGTACAAAAATCAGTAGCATTCCAATCTACCAACAACAACCAAGCTGAGAGCAAAATCAAGAACTCAATCTCATTCACAATAGCCACAAAAAGAATAAAATATCTATGCATACAGCTAATCACAGAGGTAAAGTTTCTCTACAATGAGAGTGACAAAAAACTGCTCAAAGAAATCAGAGATGATTCAAACAAATGGAAAAACATTCTATGCTCATGGATAGGAAGAATCAATATTGTTAAAATGGTCATACTGACCAAAGCAATTTACAGAGTCAGTGCTATTCCTGTCAAACTGCCAATGACATTCTTCACAGAATTAGAAATCAACCATTAAAATTCACATAGAATCAAAACAGAGCCAAAATGGCCAAGCAAAAAGATCAAAGCTGTTAAGTGTCACATTATTGGACTTCAAATTATACTACAAGGCTACAGTAACCAAAACAGGATAATACGGTACAAAAACAGATACATAGACCAATGGAACAGAATAAAAAAGCCCAGCAATAATACTACACACCTACAACTATCTGATCTTCAATAAAGTCCAGAAAAACAGGCAATGGGGAAAGGACTCCCTATTCAATAAACGATGCTGGGACAACTGGCTAGCCATATGCAGAAGATTGAAACTGAACCCTTTCCTTACACCACATTCAAAAAATCAACTCAAGATGAATTAAAGACTTAAATACAAAACCTAAAGCTATAAGCACCCGGGAAGATAACCCAGGAAATACTATTTTGGATAGGACCTGGTGAAGATTTTATGACAAGGATGCCAAAAGCAATGGTGACAAAAACAAAATTTGACAAATGGTACCTAATTAAACTTAAGAGCTTCTGCACAACAAAAGAAACTACCAACAGAGTAAACAGACAATCTACAGAATGGGAAAAAATTTTTGCATGCTATGCATCCAAAAAAGGTCTAATATTCAGAATCTGTTAATAAGCAAAAAAACAATCCTATAAAAAAGTGGGAGAAGGACATGAGGAAACACACTTTTCAGAAGAAAAATATGCAGCCAAGAAGGATATTAAAAAAATGTTCAATATCACTAATCATTAGAATAATGCAAATCAAAGCCACAAAGAGATACCATCTTATACCAGCCAGAATGGCTTTTATAAAAAAGTCAAAAAATAGCAGATGCTGGTGAAGTTGCAGAGAAAATGGAATGCTTACACAGTGCTGGTAGGGATGTAATTATTTCAGCTATTGTGGAAAGCAGTTTGACATTTCTCAAAGAACTTAAAACTGAATTGTCATTCGACCCAGCAATCTCATTATGGGTATATACACAAAGAAATATATATTTTTCTGCTGTTTAGACACATGTACAGGTACATTCCTTGCAGCACTATTCACAATAGCAAAGGCAAAAATCAACCTAAATGCCTATCAACAGTAGCTGGGATGAAGAAAACGCGGTAAATATATACCACAGAATACTGCACAGCCATGAAAAGAATGAGATCATGTTTTTTGCAGCAACATCGATGGAGCCAAAGGCCATGATCCTAAGCGTACTAACACAGAAACAAAAAAACAAATACCACATATTCTAACTTACAAGTGGGACCTAAACATTTTGAGTACATATGGACACAAAAATGGGAATTACAGATACTGAGACCTACTTGAAAATGGTTGGGTCGGGGGAGGGTGAGGACTGAGAAACTACCTATTGGATACCACATGATGAAATAATCTGTACATCAAGCCTCTGTGACATGCAGTTTACCTGCATAAGAAACCTGCACGTGCACCCCTGTACCTAAAATACAAGTTTGAAAATAAACAAATAAACAAAAACTCAAACACATCTTGTTTAGTATAAACAACACCTCTAGAAGGTCATGATGAAAAAATCCTGGTCCCAAAATAGCTACCTCACAGCCTGAGTGTAGAAATCCTGGCTGAACTTCCCCTTCCCTCCTCTTCACAATACCTTGGAGCCATACCACAAAACTGGTGGTTACAAAAAGGAGAAAAATCTATTAGGACCTTGGTGTTTCATCCCAGGGGCTTGCTATTCATAGGTGGCTGCTTTTAAAACTGACATGAGGGGCCCTCAATAAAAGGCTAGAACATTAGTTAGAAGTGACATAAATATAACAGAAAATCTAGGCTAAGATAAACCCACTGAAATTGAATACAATTAATTCTGAGATTCTTGGAAGGCAAAGGATAAAGGAAAAATAGAAAAAATTCCTTTGTTTATATGAGATCCGAGCTTCAGAAAAAGCACAGTTTCCCCTCAACTCTGATATACATTTTCCAAATGAGACAGAGAGTAGCATAATAAATGATGGCACAATCACCAAAACTGCAGATGTTCAGATAATTATATTATCATGTATATGTTGAAGACTTAATATACAAAATGAAGCTCCCATGGTGCTTTCACTGTTCTGTTCATTTTTTTTTTTTTTTTTTTTTTTTTTGCTGTAAGCAGGCTAGCATCCCTCATAATTACAATAGCACTAATTACAAAATTTGTACTCTCCCTATTCCATTTTTGAGAATCAGAAGTAACACAAGGAATTTCACTACTTTCAGGCATAATCCTACTCAAGTGGCAAAGGAGAGGCACCATTTTCAAATATTTCATGTATCATTATCAATTGATTTTAAACATAGTACTAATAATCACCATATTATCAATTCTAGTAGAAAGATTTAAAATGGTAGCCTTGATTATCCTACTTAGTTAGCCTAAAGACCTTCGAGAGGTATGCTCTAGAGTTGATGAAGGAGGAAAAGCTGGGAAGGCAGAAAGGCGAGGAATTTTGTATGTATATATGTTGGGATTTGCACCATAGACAGGGTCTCACTTTGTCACCCAGGCTATAGTGCAGTGGCATGATCATGGCCCACTCCAGCCTCAACTTCCTGGGCTCAAAGGATCCTCTCATCTCAGACTCCTACATACCTGCAACTATATTTGCATACCACTTCACTTGGCTACTTTTTTAAAGTTTTTGCAGAGACAGGTCTTGCCTTGTTGCCCTGGCTGGTCTTGAACTCCTGGGATCAGCAGTCCTCCCACCTCGGCTACCCAAAATGCTGAGATTACAGGCGCAGGCCACTGTGCCTGACCTATAGGGGTTCTTATAGGGAGTTATTCAACTAGTTTGAAAGAATAAAACCGAAATTTAAGTACTCTGAATGTTGTTCAGTCTCTCAGCCCTGCCCTTTCTGAATTTACAGTGGTTGGTAGACAGAGTAGGGATCAGCAATTGTTTGAAAATGTTGAAGAGTACTGTCTAACTCTAGGAATCAGAATGATTCTACACTGAACACAGAATTCTGATTCCTAGAGTTAAAGAGACCTTAGAGACAATTTTGTCTACCCTCCTGCAATAGGTGTCTTTTCTACAAAATTTCTGACAAGTCATCATCCATAGCTGAAAGATTTCTAGGGACAGGGAACTTCTGTCTCATGAAGTAGTCTATAATTTTTTTGACTAGCTATAAATGTTAGGAGCTGTGGTGTTAAAGTGATCTCCAATATATACGTTTCCGTCAGTTATGCATAGAGGGTCTGCTTCTACCTTCTGCATGTCATCAATTTAATGTTTTTCAGATGACAGCTCTTAAGGTGAAAGGGTTAAGTCCTATGTCCCCCAATTCTTAATCTTTTCTTCTCCAGGCTAAACACACTCATATTCACTAGTCATCCGACTACTTGCAAAGAAACTCCGGAGATTTGCACAATGAATCCCAGAAGTATAATATTAATATTTACATATTTTTACTTATTAAATAATATTTACTGGAATTTGACAATTGGTCTAATATTTTTATGTATTGGTAGTAGCTATAGCTAATTTATTTGACAGTACATGTTTAGCATACCAGAATATTTGAAATGTGCCAAAATTTGAAACGTAAGGTTAAGCATAATTCAACCTCTCTTAGATGTTTTGGCAGGTATAATAAGATCCAGAGAGCACTGGAGACAGTTTTCTGCCTATATTTTTTATTGTAGCATAGCTATATAGAAGTGCTGATAAAATGAACGTTCTAGGTGCTAAAAGAAATTTTTCTTTACTAATAATTACTAAGGAGTTAGTTGGTAGGTGTTTTTCTTTTTTCCATTTCAATTATCTTCTATTTCAGCTGTATTTTGATTTTTCTTTTTAAACTTTAATCAACCTTTATAAGCTTATTATCCAAAACACAAAATCTAGTAGTGCCAGTTCAGCCCCCAAAAAAGCAGAGTAATTTACAACCAAGGGGCACAAAAAAAGTATTTTTCTCATTTAATCACCCTTTCTTGTTAATATATAATTTATCAAGCAATTGTTTAAAATTGAATTTTAAAAAGTAGAATTTAAAAGAGTGTTGGGAAAAGTGTGACACCAAATTGAAAGAAATATAGTAAACAATTTTCTCTAGGATAAAATAGAGGCATTGATTAGACAACTCGCACACTGTCCTTCACAGTTTACACAGTAAGGCAGTCGTTAGATGTAATCACGTTATATTTGCTACCTTTGTTGGACCAGGAATACTGATGAACACAGAGCATTTGAGCAAAACCTTGATGTACTTGGCGTTTAAAAATACATGGTTAGCTTATTTTCCCTTTCAGTTTTTCACTCTTGGCGCTTTAGTCCGTTCTCAACAACTAAAAGGATTTTTCCAGATATTCAAACAACTGCAATAAAAATATGTCCCAAATATACAAGGTGAGCCTCCAAAGCACAGAAAGACCCTTTGGCAACCAGTGTCCTCTATCATGTTTTCAAAGAGCCTCACTTAATCGGGCCAGCAAATATCTCCGTTAGCAATGAAGACCAACCACTGTCACCAGCTATAAAATTGGAAGAGCAACATAACTGACCTTCAGAGGAGAAATGTGAGACTGCAAGACGTATCCATGCACATTTTCTATTTGAGAGAGGTTCTTTTCTGATACATGCACGAGTTCTGGGCCTCTTACTTCATGAGTTAGTCGAGGTAAGGAATGATCATGTGGAGCATCCTCATCTTGATATCGATACTTCTAGGAGAAAAGAAAAGAAAGGAAAAATACATATATATCAGTGTTTGTAAAGGATATAGACTGAACTTCATATTCTAACATCAATAGGACACAGCGTGCACCTACTGTTGACTTCACCAAATGGGCTTTGCTGAAGACTCCTCCAGCAGTCACCACAGACCAGGTCAAATGCAAGCAAAACTGAATTAAAAACCAATATTGACCAATGCCCAGGACTTGTTTCTGTCTGACAATGTACTCTTTGTTCATGAGCTACAGAAAGGTGATAACAAATGAGACAGAACATTTACTTTACTCAAGTAAGTGAGGAGGTAATCCTCCCGACCAGAGTAGCTAAGTATGTGTTAAAAATCATAGGTCATGAATGAAGAAGGAAAAAAAAGTGCTGAGCAAGAAGAAAACAGAATTCTGATATAGCCCATTCAGAAAACTTAATTTTATTTCAGAATGTGTGAATGATTTAAGTTCCTTTGGCAATGAGGAAAAATTTTGCCACACGCATTGTTTGTATTAGACTCAAAGAGAAAACAATCTTATCTTTCTTGACTTCACCCCCAAGAAGAAGGAGTATTGATCTGGGTTAGCCAGGTTCTAGGACAAAATATCTCAATTTTTAGAAGAGCTAGCTTTTAAAGAGCTTTAAAAACCAAGACAAGGCATTCGCCTATATTCTGATGGCTCCCCGAGGGGATAGAGGTAAATACTTCTTTCTCTCTTGTTCCCTTTTCCTCTTTTCTTAACCATCTTGCTTATACATGACTGTAACAGTAAAGATCATTTTCTGAGTCTTACAAGCAGATACAAAGAAGTTGGCAGAGGGAAAAAAAGGTTCAGGGTAAGGAATGGTCTGAGGGAACTCAGCTGTAGTCTTAGGGTCTGTCTCCATCTTCAGCCTTAGCCTGGTTCTTCATTCCTGTTTCTTTGTCTCTTTCTAGTTCACACCCCTGTTCCCTTGGGTCTGTCCCTTTAGAGTTCCATTGTTCAAGGCTGTTGTCCTACCTGGGAAAGATGAAAGGGAATCCTCTACATCTGACCCCCAGTTCAGATAATGAAGTGCTAGTTTGCTTTACTTTGCCTGTATTCCTTGTGCATAGCATAGGGATATGGGGAGCAGGGATCTAAATATTGTTATAACACCATCCCAGTCTTAATTGTGATGTCTCACCTCTTCCCAGTGCCCCATTATTGTTATCATCAATGGTTATTTTGTCATGTGTTTGTGTGTGTGTGTGTGTGTGTGTGTGTGTGTGTGTGTGTATAAAATTTCTTGGACATCAGCTCTTAGACTGACCCATATGTAAAAGTCACAAGAACCACTCTAGGGTTAGTCATTCAATCTGTTCACTCTTCCTCAGAAAGGGATTATCAGTACTTACACTTTCTGGGGTGGGGTGGGCTTTCTGCAATGACCCAAGTAAGATTAGTCTCAACGAAAATAACAATGTCATAATTGCAGTTTCCAAAGGACTCTCACATACTTCTTCCACTACAATCATTCTTGGCCATTTTACTTATGAGAAAACTAACACTCCAAGAGGAAAAGGTACCTGTCAAGTCACCTTAACTGATGGGCATCAGAGCCAAGACCCTATCCAGATCATTGCAATCTGAATCCTCTTTCAATCATCATCACTCTCTCCTCTACCCCAACAAGGAGATGAAGTCCAAGTCTGAAAACTGAATAGGCAGCTTAGTACAAAAAAGTCACTGAGAATACACAACACAATGAGGTTAGAACATTTCTGTGAACTGTAAATACCATGCTTTTGTTTATCTAACCCTATGAATAATTTGGGATGTAATCTGCCTCAGAAACATGGATCAAATTTCACATTTACTCTTGTTCAGTTATTCTCATTGTGACTGGAATAATGTCATACATATGTCCATTTTGGTTTCTCTGGCTTTCAACCCATTGACTCACACATCTGCTCCCCATTTTCAATTCTCTCATAAAGGCACTACCATCTATGTTGCCATCTGAGCCAGAAAAGAAGGAGTCAATCAGACTCCATCCTGTCTTTTGCCTGCTGCCACCTGCCAATTTAATAAGTTACTGAGTCTTCCTGATTTATATCCTAAATAATACATCCACTCTGTCCTTATTCTTCCCACACCCTCTACCAACACTGTCCATGTTCAGGATCCCATAAGCTCTGAGCTGGGCCATAGCAACGGAGTCTGAACCAGCTAGCTTCTCCCTTCCCATACATTCTCTACACTGACAGGGGACTTTCTGAATCACACTCTAATAAAGTCCCTCTTGAAAGCTTCCAATGGTTCACACTGCCTACAGGACAGAGTACAAGCTTTCTTACCCTGTCATAAGCTGGCCTCTCAACCTCACTAAATGAGCTGAACCCCCATTACTTCTGAATTACTTTTTCTTTTTTTGTGCGTGTAAGATGAACTCTTGTTCTTGTGATCCAGGCTGGATGTCAATGGTGCGATCTCCGCTTACTGTAACCTCCACCTCCCAGGCTCAGACAATTCTCCTGCCTCAGCCTACTGAGTAGCTGGGACTATAGGCATGTGCCACCATGCCTGGCTAATTTTTGTATTTTTAGTAGAGCCAGAGTTTCACCATCTTGGTCAGGCTGGTCTTGAACTCCTGACCTCAGGTGATCTGTGCACCTCAGCAATCCCAAAGTGCTAGGATTACAGGTGTGAGTCACTGCACCCAGTCCTGAATTACTTTGTTTCTCACCATTCCCACTCCAATAATTATGAAATAAATACAAATTATTACTTCTCATTTTTAATCTTCTTTTAAAATCTGTATTAAAATACACATAAAATTTTGATCATTTTAAGTGTACAGTTCAGTAGTGTTAATTATATTTACTTTGTTCTGCAACAGATCTCCAGAACTTCTTCTTCTTGTGCATGTTCTCATAACTCCCTGTAGTCTTCAATTACAACTCTTACCATGCTATATCGTTGCGTATTTTCTGTGTTTTTCCATTCAACCACAAAATATTGTAAGAACTGGGACCACACTGGTATTATTTATCCTCACATCTCCAGTCTTTAGCCAAGTACACGATACATATGCTTACAAGTGTTTGTTGAATACAGTTATGAATGACTATTACACAAATGAATGAAACAGGAATCAGTTGCTTAAGCCACAATACTATTCTGGCTATCAGATGCAATCTTTTTCATTATAAAATGCTATGAGCCCAGGCTCAAATAAAAAGGACAATCACATCATTTGCTTGACACAATCTAAAAGGACATCAGATTATTAAGTACTAGATATCTTTCTCATCATTCATTTCAGCATATGCTGAGAGTATGAACCGAAAAGAACATCTCTTGTCCTCAAGACCATAAATTATTGAGTTATAATTGTACACAGATAAGCTACTATAACTCACGATAAACTTACTTCTGCTGGAGCAGAAATGGGTAAGCATCTGTGGTTGTCTGCCTGCAGCTTCCCAGTTTGAAACAGAATCTGGATTAGTTTAAAGAGGTAAAAGATATTCCAAGCAAAGGCACAACATGTGTAGTGGAGACACATGATAGGACATGATGTTTGAAGTAACAGTGAGGTCTTAAAGTGGATTGTAGCAGATGCTATTGTGTACCCATCCAAATCCATGAAAATATCTTTTACCCATGGAAGGCTCACATCTGCATACTTCTCAGGAAGACTGCCCTTGTGTGGTTGAAGCCTCCTCTCTTGGCTATACACAGGAGTCATACTTGAACCCCAACTCTCATACCTCATGGTGATATAAATCCTGTGGTGTGAATTCCACTCCAAAGTATCCAGTGAGATTAGCTTAAATTTAGACTGCACCTGGAACTACATTTCTGCAGACTTCCTTCGTACTTCCCTTAATCCCTATGTTGTTGTTGTTGTTTTTCTTGGAACTGCCCTCCATAAATCATGCACACACAAAATCCCACCTTAGGTCTGCTTCTAGTGAGCTGGTGTAAGACTTGGATAGGCCTTGGGATGTGAGGTACAGTATGGCAGGAGGATGCTGGAAGGCAGATTGGTGTCCACTGCAGACAATAAGGAGTCATCCACGAGACCCTGGACCTAAATAATACTCTGCCCAGTGCCAAGCAGACATTCCCTCCTGTTTTTTTTCTTCGAGTCTGCAGCCTATGACTAAGCAAGAAACGATAAGAACTGATGAGAAAGTACTATCTTTAACTCAAACTCAAGTTTCTGAAGGAATCGCCCTGATGTGGCACAGCAGACTCTCTCTGCTTGTATTCAGACCCTTATTTCCTTTGGCTGAACAACAGTAATGATTTATAATACTCGGATTAATATTAACACCAATACTAATGCTAATGTTAATAAAAATGCTAATCCTAACACTAATGCAATATTACAACCAATAACAATATCAGCTACAGTTAATGTGCCTGGAGCCATATTAAATGCTTTATATGCATCATCACCATATGAGAGATAGGTGTTATTCTATTCATCTTAGACTCAGATAATTAGGTATTTTTTTCCAAGCTTACACACCCGGTAAGTGGCAAACCAGGTTTCAGATACATATTAGTTTCACTCTAGAGAAAGGGCACTTAAACAGTCTTCTAAGTTAGTTAGGACTCAAAGGTCTTTAGAGGTCAACTTTAGGAAATAAAATTTTTAGGAAATATTCTAACACACTGATGTAAGAATCAACCCTAACATTCTGGGCAATTCTGAGTCAATTTTCATTCAAGGGCTTGTCTGGTAGGTACTAAGGCCATTCTGGGCACCTTTGAGGGTTTCTGTATGGCCTACAAAATGAAGGCCATTGGCAGAAGGCCTCTGTTTCACAATCTATGCTTTCTTCTTTTTCTCTCCTAGCCTGGTCTGTTGAAGGGGACTTGAGTAAAAGAAATGTTGTAAACAGATTAGACTTCCCCTTTCAGCTCTACGGGGAGTAGAGGCAGGAGAAGTGGTCAAGACAAGAATGCCTTGTATACTACTTATGTCTCCCTATCTTAGTTCATTTTGCCTCTGACTTCCGGAATTC